CCCGCGCCGTCCCCCGGCCCCCGCCAGCCGCCCGTCCGGGCCTGTCTGGGCCCGAGGCCTTGCACACCCAGAGACGCCTCGTCTGAGGCCCTGTCAGGGACTCTCTGACTCCGACAGCCCCCCAGGGACCCTGTCACCCCGAGACCCTCCCCTCCCGCTGCGACCATCAGGGCTCCTGCTGGAGTCCTTTCTAGCAATCGGGGGCGCTGTCCCCAGACCCCCGAAGCTGCAGCCCCGGCTGGGGAGACGCGGGCGCGCCCACCAGCGAGGCTCCCTCCCAGCGCGGCCCCAAGACCTCGCGTCCCCTCCGCGGCAGAGTCGCTGCGCTGGAGCCTCGTCTCGGAGACAGGCTCTCGGGAGCCCTCCCCCTTACGGGCAGCCCCCATGGGCACCCCTCCCCAAACACCCTTCCCGAGGCCACTGCTGACCGGCGGCCCGGGCTTCCTGCGCTGCAGAGCTCCGTCCCCGTCCCTCTTCGCCCCGCGTCTACCTTAGATCCCTCACTGCCTCAGACTCGGCCAGACCCAGGCTGCAGCCCCCGGCTGCCTTTTCTTTTTACCTGCTCCCCTGAGAACCCTTTCCCCCAGTCGCCCACCCAGCCTAGACCATCCTGAGCTAACCCCTGGGCCTGCTTCTGTGTGACAAGGGGACCTTGGGGGCTAAGGGGGCGGCCATCTCGGGGGCGCAGGGTGGGCTCTCCCTGCTTGTGGGGCCTCCCCAGATGCCTGGCCGCAGGCTGCACCCAACTCTGGCTTCTTCTGACTCAGAATGGCTGCCGACTGTCTGCTCCGTCTCTTGGTTGGGCCTCCCATCTGCAGTTGGGATCAGCACCTCTCCAGCCAGGTGCCCCTAGGGACTGACCAGAACCTTACCCATGCCCTCCTGAGGGTCTAGCCCCCTCCCCTGTGGTTCACAGCTAAAGAGGATGAGGGGGCTCACCAACGTTCTCAAGTAGAGGCTTTCCGTGGAGCTGATACTTTTCCAGTAAGCCCAGCCTCGTAGATGTTAGCGACTTGCGGTGAGCTACTTAGATGTTCGTGTGTTGCGCCGGGGGTGGCCCATACCTAGGAGTGTTTATGGGCTGAGGCGATGAAGCAGGCTTAGAGTCAGGCAGAGACACACTGAGTTGGCCTTTAGTATAGATAGCACTTTATAGTTTCAGAAGCTTCTTCGCATAGTCAGGTCACTTGATCCTCCAGACTGGGGCGTGGATGGGCAGGTTTTAGCCCCTGGCTGGGAGCTGCTTACAACCACCAAGTGGAGTGGGGCCCAGTAGGCTTCTGAGTCCTGACCAGTGCTGAGAGGGTCATAGACGCTGGTAAGAGAAAAGGCAGGACATTCACAGTCCTCCAGGCCACCTGTCCTGGGCCCAGGTTCCCAGGCTGTCACCTGTAACTATGAGGACATTACTGTGCCTTGCCTCCCTCACCTGCGGGGGTGCATGAGGCTGCGGACGCTGCTGTCATCAGCTCTCTGTAGGTTTTCTGTTACAGGCATCATCAGGAGACTCAGGTCACTCGCTGCTGTGGGCTGGCCTACCTGCAGTGGCCTCTCGTCTCCTTTCTAATCTGCTGTCTCTAATCTACTGGGCATTAGAAAAACAGACAAGTCAGTTGGTGCCTAACACGTGACCACACACGCTCATGGCTTTGTGTTAACGCACACATGAAGTTTGTGAGCTTGGCAGTGTCTGTCTGCGTGCTGCTCCTCGGCTCTTTTGGCTGCTTCACAGGTTGTTACCCGATTTGGATGGGCCCTCGGTTTTTGCAGACACACTGGGCACACAACCTGGGAAAGCATGAGGCTGGCGAGGAGGAAGCCCAGCTTGTCCGAGCAGGTGTAAGCCCGCACTGTCCAGGCAAGCTGGGGCATGCCCCGCTCTTGGTGAGAGGCACTGCTGTGTGGGAAGGCGTCCTGGGGACCGCTCTGGAGCTCGGCCTGGGTGCAGGTTACGTGTGTTGCGCCGGGGGTGGCCCAGACTGTTTCCTGGAAGGCTGGCTACGGGCTTTGCTCCACATTTGTAGCCGCGTGACCTCCTTGTGTGGCGGGGTGGTTTGAGAAGCACTGGGTGTCCCAAGCTGGAAGGAGCTTGTGGGCCCCGGTGGGGGCTGTGGAATTATCAGCACGAGGCCTCGTCCTTGAAGTTCAGTCCAGGGCCAGGCTACTGCTGTCTCTGGCTGGTCTGTGGCCTTCCACCATTTTCTAGCGAGCATGTTTGCTTGGGCCGCGTGGGGTTCTGGCCCGCTCTGTGCTGAGCACCTTTGACCTCGGTTCAGC